GGCGGCGGCGACTTGGTCGGACCCTCCACTTCCCCCTTTTCCTAATCCCACACACCCTCCTCAAGCCTCACCTTCATATATATATATATGTATGTTCAGAAACAGAGCCTTTTTTTCTTCCTTTTTCAATATATATATTTATTTTTTTCCATTTTTTAATTCACCCTAAACAAGAGTTGAAGGGTTCGAAAGAGCCGATGTATAGGAGTGGTCTCTACAAGACAACTTGATGTTTTCTATGGAAAGCCCTCGCTTCTTTAGATGTTGTCGTGGACATACCAATTCGATTTGTGGGTTGTGAATGACAAAAATTAGCCAACCGATCGAGCTTTTGGATGTGGGATTATATTTCGAGCTCAGCTTTTTTGGATTTTGTAATATTGTACTCATTTGTATATCGGATTTTAATCTATTAATCGAGTTTTACTAAAAAAAATTATTTTTTAAATATGTTCGAAGTTTCTCTTATGGGTTACTTTTATGTTTTATTAAAATTCGATTTAATATATATATATATGTATATAGTAGTATTCATTTCTATTTTTAATATATATACTTTGTTAAAGCACTTTATAATCTAAATTATCTTATTTAGAGCATCTCAAAACCACTTGTTTGTTGGAGAATATATTCTATAAAAATTAGTAACTTTTTTGTTGTGACTTTTTTTAGGAGTCCTTTTTTTTAATAACCAAATAACTGAATTGAATCGAATTGAATATGATATTAAAAATCAAATGATTCTCTAAAATTAAAAAAATCTGAACACTAGTTGACACCAACGAAAAATAAAAAGTTTTTTTTAAATTAAATTTTTTATCAATAAAAAGTGTAAAAGAACAAGTTTTAATATAAAAACCAAATGGTTAAAAATTTTATGAAACCAAAATAAAAGAACAAAAATACAACCGAATTCAAATTGAAACTTGAATAAATAACCCTAAGTTTTAAGACCTTGACTATTGTAGATAAGTTTATCTTGTAGCGTTATTTGCAATTATAATAAGTAATACAACAACAACATTAACGTTAATCTCAAATTTATAAGAATGATGATGATGATGATGATGATGATGGTCAATTTTCTCAAATTATTTTTCGTATAAAAGTTCTTGTAATACGATAAAAGATTATATACACTTACTACTAAACCAACGCCGTTCTTAATTTTCTAATGCTTTATTCAAATTCTTAATACAAAATTACATTTGTTGTAAATAAATGTATTTATATATCAAAACAGATGATAATTTTTTTTTTTTTTTTGTGAAAAAGCATTAACCTAAAAGCTATTGTATTATTCCACGTGTTACCAATATAAACCAATATATACAGAAAAAACATATTAAAAAGAATAATGTATCCATTTCTGTAGTTCATCATGTTGATTTATCATAGCCATAGGTAACAAAATCAAAGAACAACTATTGTTAATAAAGTCTAGAAATTGTTATCAAAATCAAAATCAAAGAATATATTGTATGAGATTAAAAAATAAGAGTAATTAACTGTAGAATATAAATTATAAACATTATATCAACATTTGGTTAATCAATTAATTAATTGCCATTATTTTTTTGTCCCTCCAAAACGAAGAAAAACAATTTATTTTAATAAATAATTTAAATCTATAATAGAAAGCACTGAATTTTCACTCCGCTTTATTCTCCGGTGAAGTCACCGTTTCCTCCTCTCTTCTCCGCCATTTCTGCAACATTCTCTTCTTCATCAGCTCCAAAACCATAACCCTAATTTCTCTCTTCTTTCTCGGTTGCCAATGGCCCCGATCGATCCTCACTCCTTCACCGACTCCACTCATCCTCTCACCACCCATGTCGCTCTCTCCCTCTACCTCGACTTCGCCATCTCCACCATCCATGGCTCCGCCGTTCTCTCCCTCTCCGCTGCATTCTCCGGCGATCTCTCCCTCGATTCTCGGTCAATCTCCATACGTAAGATCCTAGATCCCAAAACCCTAACCCCTCTCCCCTTCACCGTTTCCTCCTCGCCGGACCCAATTCGCGGCACACAAATCGTCGTCTCCCTCTCCGGCCACTCTTCGCTTCTCATCGTCTATTCTACTTCGCCATCGGCATCCGCGCTCCAATGGCTGTCTCCGGCGCAGACTTTCTCCAAGACTCAACCCTATGTGTACACTCAGTGCCAAGCGATTCATGCCAGATCCATCTTCCCGTGCCAGGACACTCCTGCGGCGCGGATCCGGTACGATGTTGTCATGAACATACCGGGCTCCCTCTCTGCCGTCATGTCAGCACGGCATGTTCGTCGCCGGCAACCGGTACCCGACGAGGCGAGGCTTCTCGATATGGAGTCGCGGTGGTGCGGAGAGGACAGAGCCGTGGAGGAGTTCACGATGGAGCAACCCATACCGCCGTATTTGTTCGCGTTCGCGGTGGGTGAGTTGGGTTTCCGGGAAGTTGGACCCAGGACTCGGGTGTACGCGGAGGCGGCCGCCGGAGAGCTTCTAGATGCGGCGGCGCGTGAATTCGCAGGCACGGAGGAGATGATCGGGCAAGGAGAGAAGCTGTTTGGGGATTACGAGTGGGAGAGGTTCGATCTATTGGTATTGCCACCGAGTTTCCCGTACGGAGGAATGGAGAATCCGAGGATGGTTTTCTTGACGCCCACTGTGATCAAGGGAGATGCTACGGGGGCTCAAGTGGTGGCGCACGAGCTCGCTCATAGCTGGACTGGGAATTTGATTACCAACACTAACAATGAACATTTCTGGTTGAATGAGGTAATGCCCTTTTGATTATAATTCTTGAATAAACATTGGAACAATGAACTGTGACTATGTGAATAATCTTCTCTTACGATTGTGGTTGGGGGGTGCTGAATTACCTGTTCTTGGTTACACTTCTCCAGTTTCTGTATAAAAAATAAAATCGTTTGTGCACTGTAAGATATGCTGATTCCTGAAAATCAATTCTTTCTGCTACGAGTGGGAAACATCTGTTTTTGCTGCAAATGGGAGAAAATGATTTACTTTGAAGAATCCCTGCTTTCAAGTTCCCTAAAAGGGCTTTCAAGTTAGTGACCAGGAACATGGAAATAGTGTTCAAATGTGAATTTACTGCCTCATGTCTACAGTTTTGGATTTTGTTCTTCAAAGAATGTAAATGGAACTGTTATGATAAGGCGGATGTTATCGTGTTATGCTCTGCTCCCCCTGAGGTTTTCTTGGTGAGCTTATGTAGCCGTGATTGCTAATTCAAGTTCATGGCAACAGGGATTTACAACTTATGCAGAGAGGAGAATTGTGGAGGTTGTGCAAGGTGAAGATAGAGCAACATTGAACATCGGCATTGGTTGGAGGGGCTTAGTAGAGGAAATGGATAGGTTTAAAGACAACATGGAGTTTACGAAACTGAAGAACAATCAAGAAGGTGTGGATCCAGATGATGTATATTCCCAGGTGCCTTATGAAAAAGGTTTCCAATTCCTGTTGCGGATTGAACGTCAGGTATTTGTCAGGTTGAGAAAAACCCTCCTCCCTGTTTTTATGTATCCATGAATGTTATGTTGATATGGTAGTTGTCTATTTATCTTGGAGATTTCCAGATAGGAAGGGCTGCTTTTGATGAATTCCTCAAGAAATACATCGATACTTTCAAGTTCAAGTCGATTGATACAGGCACGTTTCTCGAGTTCTTGAAAGCAAATGTCCCTGGCATAGAGAAAGAGATCAATTTAGAGATGTGGACTGAAGGGACTGGTATACCTGAAGATGCATACGAACCTGTGTCAAACATATACACAAAGATCGTGTCACTCGCGAAAGAGTTTAAGCAAGGAAAGATGCCTGAGGAGGACGAGGTTGCTGACTGGAATGGACAGGAATGGGAGTTGTACTTGGAAAATCTTCCCAAATCATGCGAACCTTCCCAGGTAATGTCTTATCCTCCTGGTCTGACCCATTTGAGTTCTTCACTTAAGGACTATGGGGAACTCATCCAAGAATCGGTTTGCTTAACGGTGACACAGATCTTGGCTTTGGACAAGCGCTACATGCTAGCAGAATCCAAGGACTATGAAGTGAAGGTATCATTTCTGCAACTAGCAATCTCATCCAAGTGCAGAGAGTACTACGGCCAAGTGGAGAAAACCCTAAAAGATGTGGGAAGGATGAAATACCTCCGCCCACTCTACACGGCCCTCGTCCAGCCCACAGGAGGAAACCACGAAGAGAAGCTTCTCGCCAAAAGGGTATTTGCAGAATCTCGCGAAACTTACCACCCAATCGCTCAAGGCGTAGTCGAGTCTATCCTTTCTAAGCACCTTTGAACAAAACATAAGTTAAAAAAAAAGGCTCAAACTTTATGAGCATTGTCTTTGGTCAATGTAATAATGGAAATTCCATCTTCCTCAGTTAACAATTCAACTATTTTCACTGAAACGAACCAGCAAGAGTCTGCTCTACTAAGCACCACTCTCATCTTCCAGCTTCTTCACATATGCTTTGAGCACCATTACTACATCCCTCGCCGGAGCTTGCAGAGTACTCACCAGACCGATCGCCGGAGACTGCAAAGCTCCGAGCATCTTCGCGTAAATCTCGGCCCTTGTCGGCATCGTCTCGAGCGCCTTGAAATCGCCCGGACCGTAGAACTTTCCTTCGAAAACAGCTCCGGCGAAGTCATTGTCTTCGAGCTTCCGCTCCTTCTGAAAACTCCGGTAGGGTTTGATCGCAGAGGGGATCTCTTCGGTGTTAACAAAGAGCCAAGCGTTCATGCCCTTCATACACGGCTTGAGGGCTTCCCATTTGGTGCCTTCAATGGCTTTGAAGACCAGAGTGTTCTTCGCGACGAGAAGCCTCGTGGATTCCGGCAGAGATTTCCGGAGATCTTGGAACTGCTTCACCGTCAGGCCCTTGTAGTTGATGGCGGCTAGGAGATGGCAATTCTCCAGGTGGGTTTTCACTGACTCGACGGTTTCTTCCTTCTTCGTGCGGGAAATGGCGCATTTGATGGGGGGGAGGGAAGGGCATTTTGGGGATTTTGAGTTTCTGGGTTTTAGGGTTACGATTTGATGGTGAGAGAGAGGAGAAAGGGAAGAGGAAAAGGAGAGAATTGTGGCTTCCATTGTTGGATGGTTGTGAGGAAAGAGAAGAAGGATAATCGTAGGGCTCGAGAAGAAGATAGCACCGCACCGAAGCTTTTTCCCTTGGTTTCTGATTTATTTATTCTGTCGCTTAATAAAACCAAAAACAGCTTTGAAATAAACTCTATTTTGGATATAAATTGAATAAGCCGAATTGTATATAAACTAAAATTAAATTACATTAATTTCATATTAAATTAAAAATCGAAAAATCTAACCAAACTCAAAAAAAAATCAAAATCGGTATTGCAATAATTAATAAACCCTAAATACCATTTAAAATACGCGATAACGTATGGAATCATCTAATTTTTTGAAATTTTGTATGACCCATATTACATATTATTATTAAATTTTAATCGTTTATATAAAACAAATGTAACATGTCATTGGACGCAATCGCTCGTAAGATACTTTATTGTCTAAGGAAAGAGCAAGAGGCTCAAATTATAACGGGGCAAGAGATATTTGGGCTTTGAATATTTGTGCATTCACGTTTTGGGCTTGGACTCTTATTCATTTTTTTAATATATATTATATTAATAGAGAAACTATTCATTGTTTTGTATTTAATTTTAAACAAGATTTATTAAAAAAATTGAATTTTCACGTTGATGCAATAATAATCATTGAAACAGATGACAAAGACGCTGCTATAAATAAAATTATGTCATTGTAGTTAAATAGAATTGATAAATATCAATTTGGTTGTAACAGTTCTTTAGTAAATAGAATTAGTTGTAACAGTTGGAAATTCTAGAATGCAATTCTGAATCATGAGATCAAATTTTTTAATAGTATTTCATAATTTTTAGTCAAAAAATAAATTAGTTGTCAGTTGTGGACGATTTTTAATGAGGTAAGTTAGAAGAAAGAGTTATATATATATAATTACAAAGAAATATTCAAGCTTTTGGAACTATATATTTGCACGTTCGATTTGTACACATATGTGCTATTTTAATTTTCCATAGATTTGAAAATATCGAAGACAACTAATTACTGAAAATTTATGTCAACCAAACTAATTTAATGATTATAATTATCAGTATGACTTTTAATAAAAATAAATAAATAGAAAGTTGTTATTTAAAACTAAACATAATTAAATACTTGGAAAAACATGTCTTATTCATCCATATCTATATACGAAATGGACAACGTACGAATAGAAATTTACAGATTTATTTTTTCTCTGTGTATTTGAATATATATATATATATATATATATGTGTGTGTGTGTATATTATTTTCAATACATATATATATATAGCCGTCTACTCGCTTGATCTATTATATAAAATAGTAGTCATATTAGCATAGGTTATTTAAATTGTATATTGTCTCATATTATAATAGATTATTTAAGTTTCGTTTATTGTTATTATTATCGATAGATATTTTAAGTTTCAATTGAAAATTTAGTTATTTTTAAATTATTATTTGCAAAAAGGTTATCACTAGATTTTATTATATTTTATATAGATTTGGATGGGATTAAATTTGATATTATTTTAAATTATTATTTGTTAAATTAAAATTTTAATTATTGTTTTATTTGATTTGAATATAAATTTTTTTATTTACTTTTAAAATTGTATCTAAATTATTTTGACATAATTATTTATTATTAAATTCGGTCTAATATATCTTTTTATACTATCACAATTCAAAACATTTTAATGATTTTTTTTTTTGGTAAATGGTACCAAATGTTAATTGATCTAACTTTGGCTTCTGTTACTATATAAATCAGGTTTACAACGCAATTTTTAAATGATAGGTCCAATCTAATATCAATATGGAATTTTATTTATCTTTAAAAAGACCGAATAATTTTGTATATTTTTTATTTTTGTTAATAATAATTTTAGATAAGTTGAGATGATAAGTTTGCTCAACGTAGGACCACCTGACACGAACATCAAATATGCAACGCGACTTATCTCAATGTCCTATCATATCATTAGGGGTAGAACTGTAAATAATGTACTTAAGGTTTGACTTTGACGTACCATATTCGATGGGAATATTTTTCTATATATCTTAGAAATATAGATAGATGTGGAAACCCTAAGTACATTATTATAATTCTACCCTTAATATATCATATATATATATATATGCAATTAAAATTAAAATCAAGAACCCAATTATTCCATTTTCGTACGTATGAACGTATCTAATGTAACACATACGTTTGTATAAATACGTACATATGAGTATGTATAGTGTTACATTACAAAAAAAAATGTATAGTGTGAATATAATAAGTAACAAATACGTAAGCAATGACGTTTTATGAAGCTCCATCGAGAATTTTATACCAAAAAAGGTAAGGACACGTCAGGCCAACTGGATGGGTCCCACCAAACCTTATCCTCTGTGAACGTGGCACTATATGATTTGCTATTGCAAAACGGAGATCTACCTTTTATATAACAATCAAAACGTGAAAGATTATTAGTTTTTAGTGAAACGTCAAATTTTATATTTTTAGTTATTTATTAGAAATTATTTTGATATTATAATATTCTGTCATAGTAAAAATTTGAAGTGTTTAAACAATAAAATTTTATGAATCTAAAATATAAAAAAATCAGTAAAGTTCTAATGGTTTTAAGAGTTTTTTTTTATGTAAATGTAATTATCAAAAAATTAATATATTTAAAATGTATTATTATTTTTAATAGAAACATAGTAATTCAAACAGTGTGATAAAATATGTTAGGAATGATTATTATTTATTTGGAAAAAAATATCATCGTTGTCTTATATCTTTGTCATATTAATATTATTTCGTCATTTTTTTAAAGAAAACAAATAAAAAAAATAGTTTTAATAAATTTAGAATTTTTGTTGAGAAAAAGGATATAATGTTTTTTTTCAAATTATATTAAAAAAAGTATCATGAATTGTAAAGGTACCAAAAACAAAAATTATCATCAATTGCAAAGGTAGTTTTGAAATTATATTATTTCTATTACATATAGGTACCAAAAACGAAATCTAATTTTAATATAGATCAAGACAGAATTTGTCTTTAAGAAATTTTCTCAAAAGATTACTCTATCAAAATGTGATATTTAATCATTTTAAAATATTTTATAAATAAATAATAATGCAAAAGATAATTCAAACTATCCATGCATAAAGCTTTTTTTTGAATTCAAATAATTTAAAAATAGTTCTAAAAATATTAAAGAATATTATATATTCCGATAAAATATCTAATAAGAAACAACAAAACATATAATACTTGACATTTATATTATTAGCTGTTGTATGTGAGTCCGTCAAAATCAATCGAAATTGTGTTGTCAGAATTCAAATTGTTTTTGAAATTTAATGCATCATCGGTAGTGATCTAAATGAATTTTAATATATATTTTAAAAATATTTGTAAAAGTTGTCTCTTTATTTTATTTTAAACCAACTACTTTTGAACTTGTCGATCGATTTGACTTTCGCATAATTATAGGATCATTTCATCATTGGATTTGTGAAATTATATATATATTCTGTAATAAATTTTATATTAAGCACTATATTTTAGTTCATTTATATTTAATGTGAATTATACCAAGTGAATTTTTTCAAACACTAAAATTTGTATCACTAATTTTGAAAATTGTATTCAATTTTTTTCAAATCTTTCTAACCGTATTTTATTTCTCATACCTAAAAAACATTTTTATTTTTTATTTAATGATTAGTTTCAAAACTAGAAATTATTTTGGATTATATATACCAAAATCATTTAAAACTATATTACCATATATCTATAAATAGACAAACTAATATTATTATATATTTAAATTACCAATTTATAATATTTAATCCAGTGAATATTGATATTTTTATGACATTAAAAAAATTCTTTTTTATAATTTTAATTTACTGATTAAATTTTCATCTTAGACCGCGAGAATTAGAATCCGAACATTTTATTGTATCGACAATTATTCTCAATTTTGATGGAAATAAAACTATATAAAAGCAAAACTTACTGAATTTAGACAGCAAAATCGGACAGAGAAAGATACATTCGTAGAATCGTAGGTACTAAAAGATTACCGGAAGAGGAAAGTGGAGATTGATAAAAGAGGGAAGTCCAAGGTTTAGGAACCTACCACTTAAGGAAATGTCTCCTATGATTGGCTTTTCAATTTTTTTATATTATTTTTTTCCCATTTCCCCAAACAACAATTATAACTTCTCTAATCGGACGGTCCAAATTTAACGGCCGACCTCATGGATTGAATGCAATTTGCCCTTTCTTTTGCCTTTGTGAACTGTGAATGTCATAATGCGCCAACTATCACACATATACAAGAGTTGGATTTAATAATATCCCAGTTGCTAATATTCGCTCAAATTTAAATTTCAATTTATATATTTAAGATTTTTAAATTTTAATCAATCGCATTGGTATTCATAATATATGTATTTGGTATATTGTTGATTTGGTTTCTATGTATACGTTTTTTATATGCTTGAAAGTTTTATTTTTATTTTTATGTCTATAAGAATATTGTATACGTATATACATTGGGAAATTTGATCTCATCAATAAAATATTTTTTAATTTTATTAAAAGCTATTATTCTCTAGAAATTTGTGGTCCGCTTGCCTTTTGGGGAAGGGGAAGAGTCGCTTCCCAAAGAAATCAAATCAACAACATACAAAATACAATTTCATGATAAATGTTTTATAACAGTTACCTATTTCATCTACCCGTCCATCACCAAACATTTTTACCGATAGTAAATATGCATATACTACAATTGCATGATAAAAATATTATTCTAATTTCATTTTTGGTTAGATTTAATTTTTTAAAATAAACATCAGAAAATTTCACTTTATTTCACATTCTAGAAAAATTTTAGTTTTTTAAAAATTCATAACGTTATTTTTCTTATTTTGATTAAAAAAATGTGCAACAACTGACCTATTAATATTTACTATTAGGAATCAACATGGTTTTTTCCAAAAACTAAATATTTCTCTCTATACAATAAAGTATTTAAAAAATTATTATTATTATTTTATTATCAAATAAATTTAAATAAGAGCATAAATTTTAAATTTAAATATTAAAAACTAGTAATAAAATATAGTAATATATAATTTTTAGATAATAGATATTTTTTTATAATTCTAATTATTTTTAAAATTACAAGTGATATAGTCTTGTAAATTGGAGGATTTTTTTATTAAAAATGAGAAAGTTGTTAAAATATAAACTTTTTAGTCTTCGATTTATTAAATTTCATTTGAATGTTAATTTTTCATACGTATTGTAAAATATAAAACTAATATGCTTTTTCTATGAGAATGTGTGTGTGATTTAATTTACACTATTTACCACAGCTTTATTACCGCTATATATAATATTGATATTTTATTAATCTAAAATGTAGTTAACATATAAATCCTCTTTTGAAAATAGAAGGTTTACTTATTTCCTTAAGCGAAATCATTAAAAAAAAAACCCGAACAATTAGATATTATTTTATTCTTCTGTTATTCAAATTATATATTATCGAAACATCCTAAAATTATGACTGTAAAATAAAAATATAGTCTATGTAAATACTTACGCTGGTTGCACTATTTTTTTTATATGTTGGGCCAAAAACCTTTATTTTTTGGTCGGCATATCCCATTTTAAGACACTTAATACAACTTTTTTAACATTAATTCAGTTGTTTATACTAATTTATTTTATTATAAGAATGATCATGAGTCATAACATCAATATACCTTGAAGATTTAAAAATGGCTATTGGATTGGAGAAAGAAGACATGCAATCTACATGCTTCCTTTGATGAGATTTGACTTTTGCAGATGAAGAAGAGTTCCAAACCTACGAAATTAAATAACCAAAAGGGGAAAATAAATAAATAAAAAAGAGTGTGTGTGGACAATGCAACATCTACAACTACACCCTCTTTTTCTATCCTCCTCTTGTAACTTTTTCTGCCATTTTCTCATCAACCAAACACCCTCTCTCTCTCTCTAAAGAAAGTACAAGCCTTTCTTGAATCTTCTCTTGTTTTTTGTTTCTCCCTGAAAGTTCCAGGAAATTAACAAAAAAGGAAAGGAGCCATGCACTTGGATCTAAACCTCGACATATTCACCAGCGCCGGCGAATCTCCGGCCGGCGAGCTTCATAAAGGCGACGGAATCGAAGCGGAGAATCCTCTCGAAGATTCGAGAATAGGGTCGGAGGAAGATTCCGGGACATCAAGCTCCTCGGCGATCACGTCCTCCTCCTCCACCACCGGATCAGGCTTCATAAGCTTCGGCATATTGAGAAAAGACGAAATTACCCCTCGGCCGGAATTCTCAGAGTTTCCGGCGATATCGACCGCCGGCGAAAAAGGGTTCGTGTTGGATATGTCGAATGGGAGGAAGTGGCTGAACTTGTCGTCGTGGGTTTGCGACGGCGGAGATAAGCCGGAAACAAAGAGGAAGAGCCGGCGAGGGCCTCGTTCCCGAAGCTCTCCTTATAGAGGCGTGACCTTTTACCGGAGGACCGGTCGGTGGGAGTCGCACATATGGTACGCAACTTATTTCTCATATCATATCTTATAAATAAATATACATATATAGAGAGAGAGATACACGATAATTTTGAATTATTTCGTAATTAAATCTTATAATGTTTGATCTCACTTGTTGGGGTTTGATATTTTAAACCAATCATAATACGATTATATCTCATGTGTATTTCGGGGAAATCATATCGACATCCATCTACTTGAGTTCAACGGCCATGTCGGTTCGTATTTTCTTTAAGGATAATATCATCAATGTTTGGTGAGTGACGATTCGGCAACGACTACTTTGAAATAACTATAAACTCCATTTTGCGAATTCTTTTTTTTTTTTAAATAAGATTAGTGCATATAAATTTTGATTATAAAATCTTATAATGGTTACTTGTATCCATATATATTCCTAATTACTAATATTCATGATTATGTTTTGGCTGATATAGGGATTGCGGGAAGCAAGTCTATTTGGGTAAGAATATATAAGAAGATATGTACAAACCGTTTACACGTGATTCCCGAGGGCGTATAAATATATACACACACGCATACATGTGCTTATGTGTATATCATAAATAAACTATATTATATATGGTTCGTTTGATAATAAGTCATTTGCTTCCTTGGCTCCAAAATACAGGTGGCTTCGACACAGCCCACGCTGCAGCCAGGTTAGAAATTCTATCTTTTTTTTTTCTTTCAATAAATCTATTTTAATATTTTCCAATTTCAAAAATCAGATATCTGATGATGGATCGATGTTATATAATTATAACTTTGATTTCGATATCTCAGAGCATATGATCGTGCGGCTCTGAAGTTCCGGGGAATGGACGCCGACATAAACTTTGGAGCAAGTGATTATGCTGAAGAAATGAAGCAGGTGTGTGTGTATATAGGGTTTGTTTAACTACTAATCCGTGATTAAGTGGCAAAATTAATAGCTTTGGTAATTACTTAGATGAAGAACTTGACAAAGGAAGAGTTTGTTCAAGTGCTTCGAAGGCAATGCAACGGAGGAGGAGGTAGAAACCTTTACAAATATAGCAAGCAATGGGAGGCTAAGCCCATCCAACCTCCAGTTGCTCGTGGCGAGTATGATGATCACTATTCTCCATAATTATATATCTATATATAGTGATTAAACGTTATAATTAAACTTGTTTATTGCATTTTGTTTTCTCATCCAAATTCTTGTGTCTTCAGGCTTTTTGAAACACCCGAAATCGGATATGCGAGTGGTTTCGGGACGAATGTATACGGAATAAGGACATCGTTTGGTTCGTCGAGCAGCCAAGGTATTTGGTTTCTGTATCCTATAATCTCTCTTAAATCACCACATGATATCAGTTGATTTGTTTAAGTATGATAATATCTTACGCCCTTGTCTTTGATTAGGCGATATGGAGCAAAACCTCGAGCTCAGCCTCGGGCTTTTTCCTAGAGCAAGTAGAACCGCTAAAGCGGAACCCGGGGGCGGGATAGAACTTAGCCGAAACTATATGGGAATTATGGAGGCTAGGTGTGACAATCCTGCGCTTTTGGTTGGGATCTACCCCGATATCCTCACGAACAATCAGGTAAACGTGTTCAACCATATTCGGACGGTTTTCTTACCCTATTGGTAGGTAATATATACCAAATGAGGTTGAATAAATGCAGAGGGTGTTCGAGAAGAGAACTAAACGTGACGACGACAACAACAACAACAACAACATGGGCGGTTGCATCAGAGAGATGGGTAATGGAATGAATGCAGCATCATCACGATTCTCTTCCTCATCAGCATCTTCTTCGACCGGCCCTTACCTCCCTTCAAGCACAAGAAATGATGCTTCATTCACTACACAAGTCGAAGATTTGAAACTCTATACCCAAAAAGATCACTAATTCTATATCTATATCTATATATATATGTATGTGTATGTATGTACCCTGAGGTTTTGCATTAAAAGGGTGATTCATACAAGAGTTCAAATAGAGTGACAACAAGACAAGATGATGAGTGTCACGTGAGAAACAACATGACGAGAGTGAAGCTAACGTAGATAGATCGTTTTCTCCTCCTTTTGGGTTGAAATGTGTATCATCACATAATAAAGAGAGAGAGTCAAAACAATGGCTTGGACCGATTCTTATTCCATGAATTCTATGTTTTTCAAACTATATGTTATATAACGCTTTGTGACTTCTTTAACTTGTTGAATAGATACATTTTTATTCGCAAGAACTTCGTACCGGACTATTTTAATGGGTTCACAATATATGATTTTATGGGCCTTTCCCTCGTTTTTATGGGCTTTTAATGGGCCACTCACTATCCCTCGTTATTATGGGCCTTCCCCTCGTTTTTATGGTGTCCCTCGTCTTTATGGGCCTTTCGCTCGTTTTTATGGGCTTTTAATGGGCCACTAACTATCCCTCGTTTTGATGGGCTTTGAATTGGCCTTTTGCAAAAAGCCTCCTATGATTCGGACTGGGCCATTAGAAACAGAGAGACAGAACCCCACACTATTTACAAAAGACCTCTTCATCATATTTTGTTTACTCACAAAATAAGTAGTGTTTTTTTTTTGCAATGTGCAAAAGATCAAAGAAGAAAAACCAAACCACTTCAACAGGGAGTGTGTTTCCTCTTCATCACCTGTCGATGCCTTCAATCTTGTCTTCGACCTGAGAGTACAGCTCTCTCAGCCTCTCGATGTTCTCGGCGGACGTTTCCCAGTATCCGCGTCCGTTCGCCTCCAGGAACGTCTGAAGCATCTTCCTGAACGAGTTCGGGTTCATGTTCATCATCCGGTTCAGTATATATTCCTAATTACTAATATTCATGATTATGTTTTGGCTGATATAGGGATTGCGGGAAGCAAGTCTATTTGGGTAAGAATATATAAGAAGATATGTACAAACCGTTTACACGTGATTCCCGAGGGCGTAGCAGCTTTGTTCTTGCGTCGAGACGGACTGTTTCAGACAGTGTCCTCACCTGCGATGCAGTTGCGGAGGTTGTTCTTGTTCCAGTTCAGGACAAAGAGGAAAAAACAATCAATCAAGGGATTATCAACTCACTCACCTGTGCATTTGCTGTCGTTGTGTCAGCGATGTAAGCGCTCGGCTTCTTCCCGTCTTTCCTTAGGTTCTGAACAAGGTTTGTCGGGTCGGAGTCGAAGTAGTGGCTAACATCAGTGAGGGAAATCTCGGAAGAATCCAGGTTCTGGAACGTGACATCGGCCGTGCTTAGAGCCATCTCGAAAACCTGTCTCTTCTCGGTCATTCTCGCTTCCCAAAGAAATCAAATCAACAACATACAAAATAAGCTGCTTCTCGTCATTCCACGAGGAGTTTTCGACGGCAAGGTTGATGTTTGATGAGTATGATCCCGAGGCATTGGAGAAAACACGAGTCGCAGCCTCTCTGACGTCGATTCCAAGCTTCTCAGCTTGCTCCAACGCGTGTTTCCTCACGTAGTTTTGCTCTACCGGCTCGTCTAGTTCGGCCACCATCTTAACCGCTCGGTCAAGAAGGTTCATCTGCAAGCCGAAACAAGCTCGATGAGGCAAGAAAACGAAATGGTTTCATCCTAAACGATGAAGGAAATGATAAATACGGCAAAAAAATGATATGATTGCTTTACCTGATTGATGAAAAGATCACGGAAGACACCTGAGCAGTTAACAACGACATCGATCCTAGGCCTTCCGAGTTCTTCAAGACTAACTGGTTCAACTCGGTTAACCCTTCCAAGCGTATCTGCAACCGGTCTCACCCCAATCATCCACATGACCTGAGCCAGTGACTCACCGTAGGTCTTGATATTGTCGGTTCCCCAGAGAACGAGCGCGATTGTCTCGGGGTATTTTCCACCATTCTCGATCTTTTGTCTCTCGACCAACCTGTCGACGACGATCATCGCGCTCTGCATAGCCGCCGTGGTGGGAATAGCTTGAGGGTCTAATGCATGAATGTTTTTCCCCGTCGGTAAGACCTTCGGGTTCCTAATAGGGTCACCTCCGGGACCTGGCTCGACGTATTTCCCTTCCAATGCTTGTTTAAGACTCCCAAGCTCGTTGTCCATGACAACCAACTTCAGGCACTCCCCGAGAAACATGAACAATGTTCTGAGTTTCTCCCTGTTTGCCCGCGCAAATTTCGTGTCGGACAGGTACTGAACCCAAGGCTCATTGATCCCGAACCCGAGGATCGACGTGAGCTTATCGGACACATCCACTACCTGACCTTTGCTGTTCGTTGTCCTCTCGACGAAGGAAGTAACCGCTCCTCGTGAAGTCTCGGTGATTTGTCTCAGAAGCTCGACATCGCTCAGTATACCCTTGTCGCTGCCTCTGTAAACGTCCTCTATCTCCCGTCCAACAGTCTCAGCTAATATAGAAGGGAGGGATGAAATACCTTCCTCGGGTCGGTCCAACGCTGCGATATTGACCAGTGTAGCAACAGCTTCCATCGCGGATGGAGGCTCTCCAATGACGTGAAGCCCACAAGGCAAGAGCCGAGACTCGATCTCCATAATCTTGGCATACACTTTTCCGACCACGAGATCTCGGTCCTTTGGTGCAAGCTCCTCTCCTTCTTCGGGTAGCTCCACGTCTTTATCGAGATTGCATTGTCTAGCCGTGCTTATGATAGAACTCACGATCTGCTGGCCGCGTCCCGTGTCCTTGAGAGACTGGTACGACGAGATAAGCTCGCTTAGTTGTTTCAGCCCTTTGTATAGACCGGCATTTTCGGCCGGAGGAGTCAAGTAGCTAATGGTGTTTGCGTAGCTTCTCCTCTTAGCAATGGTAGCCTCCGAGGGGTTATTGGCTGCATAGTAGTAAACGTTCGGAATGTTTCCGATGAGACTGTCCGGGTAACAAACGTCGCTCATCCCGACCTGCTTCCCGGGCATAAACTCGAGCGAGCCATGGGTTCCAAAGTGAAGAACCGCATCAGCTTTGAATATTTTTTCCACAAACGAGTAGTAAGCAGCGAAACCGTGATGCGGACTGGCTGATTTGGAGAAAAGCAGCCTCATGGGATCGCCCTCATATCCGAAAGTCGGTTGGACACCAATGAAAACATTACCGTACTGTTTCCCGTAGACCAGAAGATTCTCCCCGTCCGAGTTCAGATTCCCAGGAGGTTTCCCCCAGTTTTCTTCCAAGGCCGTGGCATACGGAGTGAGGCTCTGATACTCACGGACTCCCATTTTGTAGGCTACGTTAAGGTTCGGGCTACTGAACTGAGCCTCCTTGTCGTGGATAATCTCCTCGATAAGAGCCTCCGAAGTCTCAGGAAGGCCCTCGAGGTTGTAACCGTCTCTCTTGAGGTCCTTCAGCACCGAGTAGATAGAAGCGAAGACGTTAAGGTATGCCGCTGTTCCTACATTTCCTTTATCCGGTGGGAAACTGAAAACTGTGATCGCTAGCCTCTTCTCCGTCTGCACGCGAGCAGAACAATTTATCAGAAAATGCTCGGAAAAGTTCATACAAGGCATAGAAGCAACATGAATTCGTTACATTTCAGACAAAAACACGACATTCTACTGTAAATCAAATAAACAGCTTCGAACACGACAGAGACTATTCTCGAAAAAAAGCCGATACTTGTATCGAATCACTTTCGTGACCATGTTCGGATCAAAACCCTATCTCGGGTAACTGCTATACATCTAAAAGCGATCAAGACAAAAAGATTATGAACATAATGCATATACACTCACTCAAGAAAGTTAACTGTCGTCAAAAGAACTGGTACTGTAACTCCCCCTACCTTAGATTTTTTCTTCAACTCGCCCCACCGGATGGCTCTGGTGCAGAGTTGCTCGACTCTCTTGTGGAGTGCGTGCGATTTCCCTACAACAGATTTCGTATTTTCGGATCGAATTCCGAATGATTGCGAAAGAGAGATGTTCGCAATTACTACCACAAGAAAGCCGACAAGAGATTTCGTATTTTCGGATCGAATTCAGACCAAATCTCTAATCTTTAAAGCCCTAAAGCTGTAAGAAGGACACATAAGTAAAGGGGGTAGTTGCCTGTTCTAGGATCACGTCCGGCGAAAACAATAGGCTCCATTCCACCGTCGAGCTCGGGGAGAGCGACCTGCAAAGCCACCTGTATCGGATGCAAACCCAAAGTGCTGTTCAACCACTCCTCAGTGGTCTGAAACACCAGAGGCAATGCCACAATGTAAGGCACGTCAAGCTTTCTAAGCGCCTCGACTGCTCGAGGATGGTCCTGTCTGGCCGGTCCACCGACGAGAGCGAACCCTGTCAGGGAGACGGCCGAGTTGATGAAGGGCTTTTTCGTCGAGGAATCGATGAAGTACTTCTCCACCGGTCCTGAGAAATCTAACCCTCCCGCGAAAATGGGGATGACCTTCGCTCCTTTTGCTTCCAGCTCCATGATCACAGCCACGTAATGGCTCTCGTCGCCTGTCACGATGTGGCTTCTCTGCAAGACCAGTCCGATAACCGGAGCGTCTTTCCTCTTGAGAATCTCGTTGGTGTCTCTCCTGGTGTCGTACCAGTTCATGTACTCCTTGACATCGTCGTACATTGTCGGAGCCAATGGATGCCAGATCCCACTGTCCAGGAACAGGACTGGATCAGCGTACTCGATCTTCGTCCCCTTCAACGCGGGAACGTAAGATCCAGAGACCATTTTGAGGAAATTCTGCAAGTTATCAGGGGACCCACCAAGCCAGAACTGAAGACTCAAGATGTAAAGCCGAGCATCTTGAGCCTTGTCGCTCGGCAAGTACTTCAAAACCTTGGGCAATGTCCTGACAAGTTTCAACATACTGTCTGCAAACCCTGCAGATCCTTGTTTCTTCCTCTTGAACAGTTGAAAGAAGGGCGATTTCGATTGTCCCAATTGAGACATACTGAAAGATCCGAGCTTGTTGAGCCTCATTACCTCGGGCATTGAAGGGAACACAAGAACTGCATCCATCCTGTCTCTCTCCTTCTCCACTGCAGATTTCACTTTCAGCGCCAATTCCTCCACGAAAATCAGAGACCCGATGAAGATGTTCGCGTCCTCCAGATCCTTGCAGAAGGTCTTGTAAGTGTTCTCGTCGCGAAGCTCTTCGACCAAGTAACCGACGACGCCGAACGATGCGAAATTGCATGTCTGGTTGAGAGATTGTACGGCCGCGGTGAGAGAAGACTGGTACTGAGCCTCGAGGACGACGTAGACGATCTTCACTGTCGGTCTGTTGTCGTCTCTCTTGCTGGGGACGATCCGGCGAACTTCGGGAGTTGTCTGAGTGAAAAGACCGTTGCCCACCACCGCGCATTTCACTCTCTTCGAGGATTTGAGGTTGTTTGATCGAGATTTCTTGGGTAAGAATGAATGGAGGAAGTACTGTTTCTGCGAGAGCGACGAGAGTTGCTCAGCTTTGGAAGAAGATAAAGTGAACGGAGAGTAAACCAGAGACGCCATTGATGAAAAGCTGAGAATATACAGTTCTTGGATTAAAGATTGAACTGAAAAAATAAACAAGGGAGATGAGAAGAGAAGGGAAGATTCTCCTTCAACTTCTTCTGGGTCAAGTGGAAAACTCCATTGTTGTAACGCTTCGGGAGAAGTGAAATAGAAGAAGGAAGGCGTTTGAGTTTCGAGGTTTAGTGGTGAGAGGGAGGGACACGTGGCGAAATGGGTACGCGAGTTTGGGATTTGTGGATTCTATTACTCTAAGATCGTGTCGCGCTGTGCGTGTGACTGTGCAACAAAGACAAGGAACTCTTATCTATCTACGGAGGACAATGTGATGGAGTTTGATGAATTCTAATTGGCTGATTGAGATTTTCCATCTCAAATGCCCAAATAGGCAGTGAGGATTGTTGGGTCGGAGATATTTTTATTTAAGAAAAATAAAGATTTTTTTTTGGGTGTACTCGAGATTGCTTTTGTAGATTCTTTGTGGTGGTTGTTGAGTGCCAAAACGTCGATATTGTTATTATTATTATTGTTTACTCCGTGCGGTGACAATGGGGCTAAATTCCGTGAAAATTTTGATTTTTGGGTGATTATTGTTAGGGTGGATTTCATCTGTACACCAAATTGAAGTAATTGAATCCTTATTGACGATTTAATTCAAAAAAATTTAGAAGAAGAAAAAAATTATTGCAACTTTTTTTTTTTTTTAATTTGGATCAGTTGCAAAGCAATCAAAACACTCACAATTTGATGTTTCTCCCCCACGACAAGGGCACAAAAGCCGCAGTTTATGACACAGAAAACAACTTCTGCGATAACCACAAAAATACTTTAATTCATACACAATTCACTCACGAAGCTACTCGGTTTTCCACAAAATTGCAGACCCAAAAAGACCAAATCCACCATTAATACATGCAGCCAATTTGATAACCGACGTAATGGTTGGAAAACCATTTTAAAAAAAAAAATCTATTGAAAATTGTAATAAAAAACACCACAAACTGCTTCATTTCCCTCCCCACGTCTTTCTGCTCCGGCACTCGTGTCTCTACCGCTACTCAAGTCTCTGGGAGATCCGATGGGTGTTGTCCTTTGTTGTCCTTGCTCTTACCCCACAGGACCAAGTATATCCCGAGAACAATCACCGCTGCTCCAATTACCCTATAGGATTCGGAACCATTTGAGTCTCAGACGAAGTATTAGTTCTGCATTTTTCTTGGGTGAATTAGGGCATACCTTCCTAGGTACATTGCTTCCGAGAACACGAAGGAGCTCAGAACAGCGACGATGACCATGTTTAGCGGACTAAACGCGCAAACAAAGACAGGCCCTCTCTCCTTCCCCACCCAGCCGATGACGTAGTACGCTAACCCTGAGACAACTCCCTGTGCAATACGCACGAAAACCGCCCGATCAACACGGCGGGTTTATCGGAAATTTATCTAGGACAGACGGGAGAATATCCTTACCCCGTATACGAAAGCTAGCAGTCTCACATCGGGGTGAACCTGCCACACTGATGTGTTGTTCCTCTCCCATACCAGGGCCATTATATGGGCCTCCACCATTCCAGTGAAGCACATAAGAGCTGCTAGGGAGAGCTCAGCTGGGTATGACTTCAGGATCTTTGCCTGCAAAAGTGCAAAAGACCCGTGTGTTTTGTGTTTGGCAGGTTGCTTAGGGCACAAGCATTCTTTTTGTTAGATTGAAACTGATGATCCTTCAAGAAACTAACTAGGTGTAAGCTGGAAGTTTGTTTTTACCGGGGAGGTGATGGATGAAGTCTAACCTGCAAAATGAGATAACATGACCAACTGAAGCAGCTAGCGACGAGCATCGTTGCTCCTCTTCTCGTTGTATTGGTGTTTTCCCATTTGATCAATACAACTTGCGTATCTATTTTACATCGTTGTTCTATCAGTTTCATTTCAAAATTCATTGTTATGGGTCACAAGAAAATTTGTCGGGCGTACTTCCTTGTTCCTGCTTCAAATTTAGGCTTTTATTGTGCCACTAATGTGCATTAATACGCACATGCTTATAATTGTTGGAGAATCATGTGTTCTTTATCTTCTGTCATAGTGTGCTAGTAAAATCTTATTTAAAAGCAACGAAAAGCACATTGACAAAAATCTTGTGTGGTAATTCTTTTTAGCATGTGTTTTGTTTCATTTTCCAGTATGTCATTCGTCTCTGCTCTCATCCAATGCCGTAATTGGCGTCTGGATTCTTGTATTTTCAACAAAATTTACTTACATGTTGATAGGCCTTTGACGCTGATGGCATGGACATGGAAATTGATTTATCAAATCTGGGAACAGTCAATACCATGTTTGCAGCATTATTCAGGTGAAGTTAAGGTCTTTTAGAATAATTTTTAGTCTTTACTCTATTGGCATTCTGCTACTCATTCGTTCTCTTGGCATATCTTAACATTCAGCAAACTAGGTGTGCCTATCAAGACTACAGTATCTGCTAATGTTCTTGAAGAGGCAATGAATGGAAACGTCACAGTTCGGCCCCTTCCTATTGGTACAGCAGTTAGTGGGAAGGTCTGATTCTTCTCATTTGCATATTCTGCATCTCATTGTTTTTCCTAGTGTTCTTTGGACTTAATTCATCATCCGGTACGATACCAGGTAGAGAAGCAATGTGCCCATTTCTTTGGAGTGACGATAAACGAGCAACAAGCTGAAACAGGGATCGTTGTTAGAGTAACATCATCTGCACAAAGTAAATTTAAGGTCTTCCCAGTAATACCCCTTTCTGGTCATGTTAAGAAACCCTCCTGTATTCTGTATATGATCCTTTTCTTTTGCTATTATTTACAAATGTTTCTCACCACCTAATTTTGAATCTTTTTAATTCAGTTACTTTATTTTGAGCAAGAAGCAAATGGTGGCTACGGATTGGCATTACAGGTATATACTACTCTCTGTAGATGAGAGAAGGAAGTAGTTCCTTTTGTTTCGTTTTCTTTTCTTCTTCTCTTAAACAGCAACAATGCCTCTTGTTTTTTACTTTTTTCTCTCTCACATTTCAGTTAGGTATTTTGTTGGTGACTGCATAATAGCATCGTTGTATTCTTCTATCTATGATAAGGTGCTACTTAATCTATTCAACTGTTTCTTATTGGTCTTCCACGGTGCAGGAAGATAGTGAAAAAACAGGCAAGGTGACATCAGCCGGCGTGTATTTCTTGCATTTTCAAGTATACAGAATGGATTCAACTGTAAATGCGGTCTGTTAGCTTTAACCTGTTTCTCTTTAATAAATAAGCCAGTCATCTCAGAATATCGAAGACGTATCAATTACACATGTCACTGTGCAGTTAGCTCTAGCCTAGGATCCTGAATCAGCATTCTTTAAGCGGTTGGAAGGTCTTCAACCTTGCGAGGTTTTGGAACTTAAAACCGGAACTCATATATTCTCTGTTTATGGTATGGTCTCAAATATTTATTTTGTCCCTTTTCCTGATCACTGAACTTAATCTAAGACTTTAATTTAAACTGATTGCACTGTATTACTTTTTCAGGAGATAACTTCTTTAAGACTGCAATCTACACAATTGAGGCACTTTGTGTAGAGTCTTACGAATATACGACAGTGAAGTTGAAGGAGATTGAAGCTCAGATCTTGAGTAAAAGAAACGAGTTACGACAATTTGAGACGGATTACCGTAAAGTATATTCCCATTTTTCGTATTCAAAAGATTTTAGCTACGTATTGGAGACATACGCCCTGATGTTCAATTATTATCCTTTTTACAGGCATTGGCACGCTTTCAAGAAGTATCCAACCGATACACTCAGGAGAAGCAAGCTGTATGTCATTGACAATTCATATTTAATGACCCTATTATATGCGAGGTTTCCTGATACAGATCGGGTTCTGCAATAACATATGATATATTTTGGAGTATTTTTGTTAAATGGCCTGTAGAAACACAATCTATTCGAAATATAGATCTCTTCAAAGATTCAAGACTGTTAGCTATACATGTCTTGAACTTGGCCGTCCTGTTTTTGCTAATGCTGCAGGTCGATGAACTGCTAAAGCAAAGAGATGCCATCCATTCCTCGTACACTGTACTGAAGACACCGAGTGGTCAAAGTGTAAGCAGCAACTTGAGTAATGGAAGTAATAGCAAAATTCCGGGCAAAGATCCAAAGGCAGCTGATAGCACGGGAGAAGAAGGCGGTTTAGAAGGAAAAGACAGATCTAAAAGGAAATGGTTTAACTTGAACATCAAAGGGTCAGATAAAAAGCTTGGTTGAATTGAAGAAAAAAAAAGGTACTTCTGGTCATTTTGTTCGTTATGCTTCTTGAAAAAAAAAACAATTTTAATTCATTCGACACTGCAGTGATTCGGCATGTTTGTGTTTAGCCTTTTTTTCTGCTGGTTCTGACCACTGGTGATGCTGTTATATGTGTGGTTCTTTAGTTGGGTCCGTGTACTGCAGAGGTTTATGTTGCAGCACAGAGATTATAGGGTTTATGTAAATAAAAAAATATCTTTTTGAAGGAAAGAAAAAAAGACATCGGGCTTTTTCAACGTGGTTTTTTTTTAATAATACGAAAGTTACCAGATTTTCGAGCTAATTAGCTGAATTGAGAAAAAGTTGTCTAATTCCTTACATTCATCTGATCTTGTGTTAATGTGTTATTGTTCTTTCATGTGTACGTAAGTTTTTCATCCCATATATATACGTATATAGTATATGTAATAATTGTTGGATCATTCCATTATTCAACATGGTTTTTCTAAATGATTGATTGATTAAATATTTATGCATGTGTGTAAAAAATTTTATCAATAACAAAAAAAAAGAAAGGAAAATTGGTCACTGTCGGCAGTTTATAATTAGCAGAGTCATTCTATGCATCTATATGTACTCATTAAACTATACTTTTGTTGTTTGTGGTAAAATGGAGCCTACCCTTTGGTTAATGAGAATTTTTTTAATTAGTGTAAAGTTGAATGAGTGGATTTTAACTAAATTCGTATGATATATGGCAAAATATGTCAAGTTTGTAAATAGTGCTTATATCACTATTTATATCAGATTATTACCTTCTAAATGGGGGAACTTCCAAATTACCCTCAATGTGCTACAAGGACTTCTAGTGCTACCCTTCTCTTGAAAAAAAAAAATTCCAACTTCTAATTTACCCCTTTCATTCACAAATTACACAAATACCCTTTAAGGACGAGGAGATGCTGAACCGGATGATGAACATGAACCCGAACTCGTTCAGGAAGATGCTTCAGACGTTCCTGGAGGCGAACGGACGCGGATACTGGGAAACGTCCGCCGAGAACATCGAGAGGCTGAGAGAGCTGTACTCTCAGGTCGAAGACAAGATTGAAGGCATCGACAGGTGATGAACAACAAACACACTACTTCATTGTAAATGTCCAATGAATTTCAAAATGTTCTTGTAATAAAAACTAAAATATCCAAAAAAAAGGGACTTATTCTATTACACAAACAAAACTAAATAAAAGAGCATAAGGACTGGGAACAATCAACAACAATGCAATGAAGACTATGGAGAAGCATTCAGATTCAGTCTCTTCTTCCTTCGCTTTCCTTCGCAGATTCCATCGACCCTTAACCGTGCATAACGCCTAAGCTTCTCGAGAATCCTCCGCTCACTCACCCGCAATGTTAAAGAATGGAGCAACCTCCGATCTCGGGGAAGGCAACACTCCTTCAATGCAGCAATGTCATCCTCCAAAGAGCTTGTTCCGTATAGGCTCTCTCGCTTATCCGCCACTGAAATAAGTGCTCCTCGAACATCCTCTGTAAGGAAAACATCATTCTCGATGTCCGATGATGTTTGTCCAAACGTGATCTTGTGGTTTCCCGGTGACATCACGTGAAAAAATCCGTTCTCATCACAGGCAGTGGATACTGCAAGATCCAGCTTGTTATATGTATTGTCAGGCAACAACAATATGTACAAGAGAACAAGAAGCTCGGTTTGGGGTTCCCCGTTTGAGGTAATCTCAAAATATTCCGAGTTTTGACTCTCACATGGAGTGTAACCTAGTCTTCTCCACAGGGCAAGTCTAGCTCTAGTGTACCGACCCGAGAACGAGGATGAGCTCCATCCGAGTACTAGTTCCATATCTATATTTATGATGTCATATGGATTGTCGGTCTCCGTGAATCCGTATCTGTGGAGCAATGCAGCATTTCCCAGTGTCCCATATGTATTGAACACCTAACGAAAAGCAACGGATATCGAATCAATGGACAAAAGAAACTAGCACGAAGATGAATGCAGAAGGGAAACACTAAGAATTTAGTTGAATCCCATCGGGTCATATTATTCATCGAGAAAAATAAATTTCAAAAAAAAAAACTTGTAGCATACAAACCTCGGCCCCAGTAAGGACATCCTTCACCATGATCATTTCTAGCACGGGATGATCATTTTCCACAACTAAATAACTGTCTTCATCTGCTCCATCGTCATTGTTCTCAGCAGGGACCTGGTTAAAAGCTTGTTCAGCCTCGGAAGAAGTTTGAGTAGAAGCCTCATCTTCACTGCGGTTCTCCTCTAAGGCTTCATTATTTTCATCAGCTTCACTACCAGATTCACCATGAGATGAATCAGATGTGAAATGTACATCCTCAGCTCCAGTTTTATGATTGAACCTACATATGGAATAAACAACAAATACCAAGAAGAGAAAACATTCTTCCATAAAAGCTAAACAAGAAAACTGGATTAAAGAAAAAATGAACGAGTAGATAATGAAAGGTTCTTCGTCTACCACACATGAACTAAGAATTAAACTTTGAAAAAGAGAACTACTAAATCAGCACCCAAGATACTGCAGGGCCGAAACATAGATTCTATGCAAACTCTGACAGGACTATGCCTAACTGAAGTCACCTGAATCTAAACACTAAGTGAAGCTCTTCACTTACAGCAAACCGTTGGAGAAAAACATGATACAAAAATATTGCATAAACAATCTAAGCTAAACTCTGGTGCAGCCAAATTCCAAGATAAAAAACACTAAGAATATTAATTAGTATTTCAGCGACTAAAATAAATTAATAACAATAAACTAAACATCTAGGAAACCTGCGTTACAAGTCAACTCCATGAGTCATATAAAAATCTAGAGCAAACAGACATTGATTCCCCACAGAACACAACACTAATATAAAGGAAATGAAAGAAAAAATCAATTATAGAGTAGATGACAACAAATCATTTTTTTGGGTGATTCCTCGGGTAGCAGCATTTTGGGGTGACAGTCATTACTCTGTGTATATGCATTTTGGCAACTCGCTTTGGTTGATAGTAGATGCATTATGGATTCAGAAGGTCTACTTACAGATCTGCCAGAGGGACCATCCCGAATCCATGGTAATCGTCTATCTCGAAAGACCGTGAGGCAATGAGGCTCTTTGCAGCAATATATTCTTCTACTCCAAAAAACTTGGGATCCACAATCTGAGGAGACGAATGTGTAAGGGGCAAAATGCTTTCTTTCCAGTCCTCGTATATTAGAGCCTTGTCTTCCTTAACCACCTGCCTAAAAGAGATGAAAGTTGATAACTAAATAACATGAAACTTCAAGCCCGATCCACAAAATGCAAATTTGATCTCTTGTCAATGGCCACTCATGAGACTAGCCTCTTATCCAAAAGATCGAAATGAAATGCATCGATTTTGGCTACACCTTATGAAGCTCTGTCCCGAGGAGGAGAGAATCCAAATCATGAAGGGACCAAACCAAAGGCAAGTCCTCCTGAAGAGGCAGAAGCTGAAGATAGCCAGACCAAGGGGACTGTTCTCCTAAACTCCTCTCATACATCAGAGCCACTGACAAGCCCAGGTAGCCATCGAGGCCGGCGGCTTCGATAATCTCACGAGCTCCACTTGTTTTCATGGTGAGACAAGCTTTCTTGGGTATGTTCGCCACAACATCTCCTTCCTTCAAATCACAGAGAGTTCTCACAGAGACTCCATCTTGTGGGTCATCAACAAGACGAAGGGCGTCACTGCATTCTACTCCATGAGCTCTCATCCACCTCTTGAACGCTCTCAATCGCCTATTACAATGAGAAGCATGAGAATGAACCTCATACAAGTGTCGAATCCCAATAAGTAAATGAACTAAACCCTAAATATACAGAAGAAACCCAGAATCCAATAATGCCCATGTCACCATTTTCCAGTAAGAAACATTCTGAATAGCTGTTTCCCGTAGGAACACAAATCTGTTTCGTCATCGTCATTCATAATTCAAGGTGCGAATCCGGAAAACAGAACAAATCCAAAAGATAATTCCCAAATCCGCCATTTCTCAAGGACAGAAGCCTCCTAAATAGCTTCAGTAGGAACAGGAAGGCGTGAGAGAGAGAGAGAGAGAGAGAATGAAGGAGAACCTGGTAGTGTCCATGAAGCGATGCTGTTTCTTTGATTCTCAAATGTTTCTCCGGTGGTTTCGGCCTGAAACTCGTCGGGAATTAGGGATCGTCGAGATTTCCCGGCGGCTTTGAGAGTTGCTCGAGCAGTTGCATTGAGGGGGAAGGGTTTCGACTATTTATATTTACCGAACCACCCTTGCTTTTTCTTTTCCCGTGCAAAAAAACCGACACAGAATACAATTTGATTTTATGTGAATTTATTTGGATCGTTTTAAATTTATCGGCAGCTAATTTCACATCTAAGAGTGAGTTTAGTTATTCATTTTCCTTGGTACATCGATTTATATATAAAATACATGCAATTTCCTCTCAAAGCTTCTTTATATATAAAAACATTCGAATTTGTTATACCAAAAAAAAAACATTCGAATTTGTTACAAAAATCGTAAAATATTTTCTAATTATAAAAAAGGCATTCAAAATAGTTATTCTAATTGTAGACTTTTTTCCACTCGACTTGAATTTATTTCTTATTGAATTTCGATATTTTCTTCCCATTTCTAATATATTTCTATTCCTCTTCAAAGTTTCTCTTGCACAGACCTTTCTTTCTTCTGAGCGGAAAAATACGATCGCCAGCGAGTTCTCTCCTTCTTCTGGGTTTGTGGACGAACTTCGTCTTCTTCTGATCCTCCCCCTCAGTTCTTCATCTTCGGGTTTTTTTGGGATTTTGGGTTTAGATTTTGTCGGAAAGCGAACAGCGACCGGGAAATTCGATCCGCCGGCGAGCTGGGATGACGGCGGGGCGGAGTTTTTCACTCTTGTGACCGTTAAACGTCGGAGATTTCAGTGACGAACGGTGAGTGGAGTGATCTTGGGTTTTAGGGTACAAGACCCGGTTGGCAAAATCGAGACTTTCCATTTCAATGCAGAAGCTTGATCGTTTGGGTCATACTCATTCTCCAAATACAGAAACGATCTTTTACTAAGATGCATTTATCTGTTCTGTTTTGTTTCCTTGCTACAGCTATTTGAGTGTACAAGACCCAGTAGGCAAAATCGAAACTTTCCATTGTTGTCCGGTCAAAACCAAAGCTTACTAATTTGGGTCATGCTCTTACTCGGGTTAGAGACTCAATCGTTCACTAAGATGCATTCATGTGTGCCGTGTTGTTTTCTTGCTAAAGTTTTTTGTCTGATCATTCATGTGACACAGTGAGTTTTCCTTTTATGACATGCAATGCTTAAGGTTGATGTTGTGTTTGATTCTGACAGTGCAATCTTTTCATGACATGCAATGCTTAAGTTTGCTGATTTATGTTGTGTTTGATTCTGACAGTGGTTTAAATCGAGTATTGGAAGCTCGAAGCGTGGAGAGAGTTCATATGCTGATAATTCTAGAATGGAGCGGAAGAGGGGTCATCAGTGGTTAACGGATTCGTCTAATTCGGAGCTATTCAGCAACAAGACTCGTGCTGTAGAATGTGCCGATGCTAGGATTGGTATGGGAGTTCCTCAGATGAATTTGTCCGGTTGGGACAATTCTCTTGCATCTGGACGGTTTGTACCTGAGAATGTGCATAATGCGAATCTGGTTACTGGAAATCTGCCTCCCATGGATGGCCAGAGTGTTGAGGGAAGAAAAGATCTTGAGGTGCAATACAACAATGCCTCATCTTTTGGTTTTCCTCATACTGTTCAGGATGGCTCCTCGTCTTATAGTCTAGAGGGCATTCGAAAAGTGAAAGTCAATCAAGTGAATGACTTCACCCGAAGTATACATGAACCTATGACACAGTTTTACGGTGAGGGGATTCCTAGATCGTTGGATATGGGTTCTTCATTTAGCATGAATCAGAATAACCCTGTATCCTTGGGCCAAACTGGCAGCAGTAGTGGCAAGAACGTCAGCTTTGTAGGACCTATCTTTAGTAAAGCAGGTGGGAGTTCCCCTCAGAATTTCGGTAAAGACGGGGCTGGTTTCATGCCAATGGGCAGCCTTTATGATAAAGGAGATGTAAATGTCTTGCCAACAGGTCAACCATCTGAGAAAGGGAGGGACAACTTTGTACTGATGGGGCAGTCGTTCCACAAAATGGATAGTAATCTTTTCTCGGTTAGTCCTTCCTATAACAGGGGACAAGAGAGTTTCATGTCCATTCTCACCTCTTATGGAAAAGCGGCTGAAAATCTTTTCTCGTCAGATACATCCTTTCAGGAGCAAGATAACAATTTGTTATCGATGGGATCGGCTCCATATAAGGCAAGCGGTGGGATACCATTTATGCTTCCTAACCAAGACAGAACGGACCAAAATGATGTTCCCATTACTCAGCAGGGTGGAAGCAATACCATATCTTTTGGAGGTTTTCAGAATGAAGACATGCTTGTCTCATCCGGCAGTATCATCAATGGTTATGAGAGCTTTGGAAATGTAGCTGAGAATTTTAAAGATCCCGTTCAAAAGAGGTCAAGAGAAAATTTGTGTGGGATGTTTAGCTCTGGCCATATTGTTAATCCAAATGCTGATACCATTCCCAAAATCAAAGAAACAAAGACCACTAAGAAGGCCCCTACTAACACATTCCCTTCAAACGTTAAATCCTTGCTGTCAACAGGAATGTTTGATGGGGTTCATGTCAAGTACTACTCCTGGTCACGCGAGGCTAGTTTGTTATCTTTCTTGAAAATAAACCCGTTGCCCGTCACTCTTCCCATGTGTTGATATCTATCTTTTTTTTTGCAGAAAAATCTCCAAGGGATTATCAAGGGGACTGGGTATCTGTGTGGTTGCAGTGAGTGCAAGATGACTAAAGTAAGCAAAATGATACAAATATTTCAGTCATTTTCAGGCAGATCAGTTTGATGCCTGAATCGAGTTGTGTGTTGATTTTTTCGACATGTACTGTCTTAACAGGTTCTGAACGCTTACGAGTTTGAGCGCCATGCCAATTGCAAGACAAAGCACCCGAATAATCACATATACTTTGAGAATGGAAAGACTATTTATGCTGTTGTTCAAGAGCTGAAGAACACACCTCAGGAGATGTTGTTTGATGCCATCCAAAATGTAACCGGATCCGAAATCAACCATAAGAATTTCAACACCTGGAAAGGTATTATATCATCACAGACAGTTTAGAGCATGGTATATAGAACAGAGATACAAAAAGAAGAAAACAGTTTCTATGTTGTCTGGCTGAAAAGATCGTTCTTCTTTATCTTTTCTTCAGCGTCGTATCAAGCTGCCAGCCGTGAACTTCAGCGTATCTATGGTGGTGATGGTGTCACTTTAGCATCTTGAGAAGACGAGTCACCAGTGTCGCGAGCTTTTTGAGGTGGGTGAGTATCTATTATTATACTCCGTAACGGGCAAGTAGCTTTCAGTATATCAGAACTCTTTAATGCTATGCTTTCTCAGTCTGGTGAACTTTAGTTCTCTTTCTGCAATGACTTCAACTTTTAAGATTCAGACATCTAGTCTGAATTTATATGTTGATGCGATGCATTTACTTACCGTTGATTTTGGCAAACTATCTTTATGATCTCTAGCAAGCGAAAAAATCATTCACATTATTTAGATTTTATACCGAAATTTCCATCTCAAACTGACTCTTGAGACTGAGCTGCTGCCTTCATGATGACAAATTGGTCAGTAGTGGGTACTACTTTTTTGCAATCAGGTATTGGAGCCATTTGTTCATCAAACTTTGCCACTACTGTCTCTGGGAGTCCAATATTTGATGGATGTTGTCCTTTGTTGTCCTTGATCTTACCCCATAGGACCAAATATATGCCGAAAACAATCACCACTGCTCCAATTACCCTATAGAATCCGGAACCAGATTAGTTAAAACCCAACCATTTAAGTCTGGAATTACTTCTCAGAAGTATTAGTTTTTCATTTTTCTTGGGTAGGGCATACCTTCCTAGGTACATTACTTCTGAGAACACAAAGGAGCTCAGAATAGCGACGATAACCATGTTTAGCGGATTAAATGCGCTAACAAAGACAGGCCCTCTCTCCTTTGCCACCCAGCCGATGACATAGTACGCTAACCCTGAGACAACTCCCTGTGCAGGACAAACAAAAACCGTCCGATTAACACGGTAGGTTTATCGGAAAATCTAGGACAGATAGGAGAATATCCTTACCCCGTATACGAAAGCTAACAGTCTCACATCAGGGTGAATCTCCCACACTGATGTGTTGTTCCTCTCCCATACCAAGGCCATTATAGTGGCCTCCACCATTCCAGTGAAGCACATAAGAGCTGTTAGGGAGAGCTCAGCTGGATATGACTTCAGGATCTTTGCCTGCAAAAGTGCAAAACCCGTGTTTTTTGTTTTTTGAATTTGTGTTTGGCTGGCTAGATTGCTTAGGACAAGCATTCTTTTTGTTAGATTGTAAAGGATTCTTCAGAAAACTAAGAGTAAGTTAGAAGTTTTAACGGGGAGGTAATGCAGTCTGACCTGCAGAATGATATAACATGACCAACTGAAGCAGCTAACGACGAGCATTGTTGCTCCTCTTCCGAGGGGATCAAAGCCTCTTGACTTATTAGTCCAAGGCAATTCAACGACATTCCCTTTCACGAATGTCATTAGCATGGCTCCACCGACAGCTATTATGGTCCCGACCAGCTTTGCCTGGCTGCGATGCTTACTGATATCTACCTTTTCAAGCCTTAAATCACCGAAACCCGATTAAAACTTTTTGTGGGGTTTGGAAATATGAATGCATATTTGTGGGTTAGGATGAGATGGGGGGTGGGGGGAATTACCTGAAAATGCAGGCCATGATGAATGTCAATGCAGGAAGTACATTGCACATAGCTGATGTGAATGTTGCTGTAGTAAGCTTCATCCCTGTGTAGAAGAGGTTCTGCTCCACCACCGGCCTGCATTATTTGCATTTTTCATAAAGAGAGTAACGACACTGTTGTCATTCTCATAAAGAGAGTGACTTACTCGAACAAACTCAGCATGGATACTTGAATCAAAAGCTTGAATGTCATCTTCGGTCTTTTGTTCCTGCGGTTACAGTTCCTCGTCTGTTAATCTCGTGTTTTTTTCCTTTTCAGATCGGAAGG